CTGTGATCCAATAGGAATTGGCGAATAAACTAGTGCAGGTGTAAAATGCTTCTTCCGAACTCGACCGGAGACGGTAGCATATTCCCTTTCCCAGAGAATCTACCTATTCGCTGGGAAAGGGTGGGAAAGTTAGGGGAGAGGAAACTATTGTTAAATTTTTTCCCAGCCGAAAAGCGTCAGAAGAAGAACAGTTTGGCGAGTGCAATATCCCGCGCTTTCTAACCTAGCGTTCCAATGACACCATCTGTATCACGGAGATGTAGAGGGCGTGGCTGCATATATCATTTATCATGACGTTTTTCAATTTTTACATTTGAGAAAACTGTCGTGCTCTGTTGAGCTGAACAAAGACATGCTCCAAAACATAATTATCGCACCAAAAGCGCCGCCACCGCTACCTTCAAGCGGGTTACGCCGCCCTCCCCATTTCCGGGATATGAAGTGTACCTCACCTGTTCATTTAGTTTTACCATAAATCCCTTGCTGATGGGCACAACTTTACGAATTATGAGACCTAAATTTGTGCAGTAGGAAACGGCTGATTCTGGGGAAGTCATCTATTCTCCAGAAATTACTGAATGCTGATGCAGCAGAGTACGTTTTCAGCCGCGTGCGAATAACATCAGACCCTCAGAATACCAAATAAGAGCTGACATGGGGAAGGATTCGTCGCATTCAGTAGGGGCGGTGTCAGGAGCAAAGGATTATGCTTTTCGTGGCGTTTCCGCCTCTGATTTTTTTCCATTCCCTGAATCCGTTCAATAATCACTAAACGATCACTACTGGTAGAAGAGGCAGCCGGAAGCTAGCATTGCGCCCATCCTGACACCCCCCCCCCCGACTGATTTTGGCGGCATCAACTAAACCTGGTTACTCCATTTCACGTACAAAGGATACAACAAGGTACCAATCAGTCTAAACGTTGGGTTCTTCTACTCACCTGATAAGCACGACTCAAAGAGAACACTTGCATACGAGCATTAGGCACAGCCACCTGACAGATAACTGCTCGACCCATGGTAAGTGTGAAGTCGCCCATACCCATCAGAAATCCGACTATAGCCACAACTGCTCTGCTGAAATGTCAGACTCCGAAGAAAAAGGGCATATTTACTCTTTACTGCCCCAACACTCCAGAACTGAGCCAGTTTTTTGACCGACTTTTTTCTCCGGTGTGACATTTGCTCAAATGTTTGTTCCGTTAAGGTAGTTTGACTCCTGATACACGATATTACATTCCTTGCCGGAAACTCCCTGGCCCCCGCGCCACAGGCCCGGTGAGTGGGGTTCTTGGCGCCGGGCCTGTAGGAGGGCGCCTCAGAGCGCCTCGTGCCCCTCCCCTCAGGGCAGGTGTGTCTTTGTGATTTCTGCAAGGTCATCTATCCTTGGAAAGTAGTTTTCAGCAAACTGAGTGATTTGGGGTATTTTTGCGCCGGTGCCAGTGACACAGGCACCAGGACGTTTAATTCCAAGCGGATGTGATAGTCATGTTTAGGAGGTCAAACTACCCCAGGGAACAAATTTTCAGCCAATTCTGCCAAGGCAGAAAAAAGTCGGTCAAAAACTGGCCTGTTTTCGGAAGATGGGGCAGTAAAGGGTGAAATGTTGAGTGCGAGAAAAGTTAAATGTTTTGACACAAATAAAACGAGGCTGAATTGCTTGTTGATTCCTTTTTATTGTGATATGCCATGCACTTGACTTTCATTCAGAAGGCAGTTGCATTGACGGCGTCGCGGCCTGCGCGTGTACAGCGATGTTACAGACAATGTTCCCAGCTCCCATGGGATTCTTGTACCAATCATTTTCCCGGAGTTCGTACGAATTAGTAAGGCTTGGTTGGCCTGAAACGGGAGCAATTGAGACGCGCGTTCTCGTGATAAGCGGCCACTTTCTCCCTCGCTCCAAAATTTTATGTCGGATCTTAGCGTCTGGTAGACGCACGATCTGAGCCACACTTCTAAATCGAGGGCATTGCCAGGGCACACCGCTGCTCAATTGAGGGAAACACACAAAGTTCAGTGCTCTCATTGATGCATCATTGTAGAAATCGTCCGTTTTTTTTTGTCCTATACGGAACTGTGGACACTTTCCCGTAGTACTGCCCGTTCGATTGCGTTTTTTTTTAGGATCACGGGAGGGAGAGAGGGTGATAGATGGAACGAGACCCCGGGATTAGGGGTGCTTAGTATGATGGAGGGGGTCGTTCTTTGTACTTAATCCAATGTTCAAATTTTTCTGATCGCCATGACGTTCTCTACGCATGGAACATTGAATATTAAAGGCGATAGAACTTATCGGCAGTTGGCCGATAATTTGGTACTCGGTCTAAAATTCTAGTAGGGTGCTATATAGTGGGGAAATGGCGAAAAAACGGAGTGAAACGGCTAAAATCCTGGGAAGAAGGAGCCTTCGTTCTCATTACTCAAAAATCGATTTCGGACGAGTTTCCCGCAGGCATCTTGCCCAGCTAAGCCGTACAGATTAGGTACAGCTGCCATGGTGTACTCACGTATCCATGCAGCATCGCTGCTGCTTTATACCCATCCTTTCGCTTCATAATATGCTCAGCAAGCAATAAGTACGAGCATCAGAAACGTCCATTTGTGGGCGGGCGGCGGGCGTGGTGGGCGTTCGGGTCGGTATGTTGTAGCTTGATAGGGCCCTTATAAGGGTACCTTCCTTGGAAAAGGCGCTACGCAGCGCCTGCTCAGGGTCGCGGAATTCCGTCCTGCCAGGCGTATTAATCCTACTCGTCTTAGGAATTCATCGTGCCAACTGCCCTCAAAAGCTGTAAAGCTTGCCAGAGATTCTGAAACTGAATTATTCTCGTAGTAGTCGATATGGATCAGCCCTAACGCTCATCAAAATTCATTCGCTCTTCATAAAACGCTCGTCAACTTCTTTGTGGATTACAACCAGTACGCTGGTGATTGATTACTCTTTTTTTCCAGCAGTCTCCACAATACGGATATCATCATTTCCTGACTAATCACCAGTCACGGTAACGGATCTGGTTTTGAGAAATGATCCGAGACGATAAAAATCACAAAAGGGCAAAGTTAAGTGGACATTTCCAAAGTGCAAAATTCAAAGATAGTTGTGGAACTTTGGACATTGATCAGTTTCTGAAGAGTCACAAGCGCAGAGATGATGTAATGGCAAGTGTCGGCACCATCGCACATGAAGGCGAGGCGATCAACTCCCAGATCGGTTGGGATAACCAGTCCAGATTAGGTTATGAGGTGTCACGCTAATCTGCGAGAATACAAGCATTGACTTGCACACTAGCTGACCCTGAAAGTCATTACATGGGCTAAATAACTCAAAGAGCCTATAAAATTTTGAATTCACGTGGGATGTTGTGTATTCTTGGAAGAATCCCCCCCCCCACTCAAAAGGGGAGGAAGGGGACCGTACCGAAATCCTGTCTTGGGGTCGCGACAACCTGCGTTTTCCATGATGTGGTGAGCCGACCTCATGCCGGCGTTTCCAGAGGTCACACCCCTAAAAGGGACAAGCCACAAGTTTCCAGCGCCCTTATTTCACCCTTCTAATGGCGTTATTTGTTGTTGCGCACCCTGCTACCAAGTATGCGACAAGATTCTACTGGTCATGTAGTCGTGAGCGCTGCCTCGATAGGAGGCAATCCTCATCAGAGTGTGTGCAAGAGTCTCGGGATACATCATTGCTCGCCCAGCCTTTGCACACCTTCTTCAAAGGCAGGCTTCGCGATGAGCCAGCGACAGCTTGTTAGGTAAGAAACAGAAGTGTATATGATAGCTGACTCATCCGTGAAGAGAAAAGGAGAGGAAACCGTTAAAAACACTCCAAGTAAGGAAGTAGTTGCGCCAGGTGAGAGACAAGGAATGATGTGGATGTCGGGACGGGAGGCCAGAGAAAGCAGCGAGAGAGCATGCAAACGAGCAAGACAGCAGACAAGACATCTATCAACGTGGGCGGAGTCACTTGAGTAACTTATGCCATAGCCGCGCGATTATTCGCCATCCAAATAGTGGATTAGGGGGCTCCCATATAGACGACAAGGGGTTGAGTAACTCGACAGTGAAAAAAAATAAGCACAAAAAACATGCCACCACTATGCCTAGTAGAGAACCCCGTCTTGACCACAGCTTGCAGTGCGCAAATTAACTCTAATCTAGCTACACTACCCTCATACGCACAGTGCTGCTCAATCACCGATAAAGACTCTACGGCCGTTGTCGCAGTGACGATTTTTCATGGCTTTTTCCTGATCGCAGGTTCGTTTTCAGGACTGAAAGCCGGCATCTGAGCGGCGGAGTCTGGAGGCGAGTCACTGAAAAAAGGGGGCAACCAACTGAAAGCCTATACTTGCGCTATTAGCGCCCCTCCCCCTTCTTGTTGGCTTCTCTCTAGCCTTGTCACCATTTCGACTTCTAGGGCCGCGAAAGCCGATATAAAGGCTGTATCGTCACGGCACGCCACACTAACCTCGCTGATGCCATATTTCCAACTTTCGACACTGATCGCGGACCGTGCCTTTCCAGCCGTGTTGAGTAACTTTACTGTCAGCGACACCTCACACACAGTGTAGCTGTCATCGTGGATGTGTGAAATGCGTAGGTTAGGATTACGCACCCTCCCCCCTCCGATCGAGAGCGTGTCAGTACGACTACCCTGCTAAGGCGAAAAAGTACGAGGCCCTCCACCCCCTAATGTGTTTCAAACGATGCATGCTACCCTCTCCACCAATTTTCTGAAATGAAACCTGTAGGGTTGTTCTTTGTAAGACTACACTAGCTTTTCCCCACGAAGAGCTTGAAAAATTCAGAGTGATTGTGGGCTCTGCCTTCGGGAAAGTTATCGCGCGTACGAAATTAATGATTAGAAACCCACCAGGGCTTGATGAGCAGTGTTGGCGCAGTAGTCGGCCTAATCGTGGCCATATCTGGTACGGATAGCAGAATTAGCACAAGTGCTGTCGATACTGCTATGAAATGGATGGTGATCGTCACCACCAGTCCCCAATCATGACATCGCTTGATCAGACGTCGAAGCACCACGCCACCTGAAGAAGCTGTATTAACAGACAAGAACACTTTTGTTTCACACAATTGTTGTTCCGGGAGGAACTTCATCCTCGCTGATATTTCTCCTGGACAGCGTTTGTGTAAAGCACGGATTTAAGTGTGACAGCGGCGCCTGTTACCACTGCACTACTTGCTTAGGGTTAAGCGCTGTTGCGTCATGTGAGATATGGGAGCTTTCACTGTAGTGGCTGGGGCGTGTCAAGGGTGGCTGGGTTCAGCGAGGCGCCAGCCCGTTTCCCACCAATTGTTATCGCTTCTCTTTAAACAAATGGTGGTGATGGGCTGGTGCAACACCCTTCCAGCCCCCTCTGGCACGCCTTAGCGTCTGCAGCGAAAGAAACTAACAAGAAGTGTAGAGTACAATTTGCGACATTGTCCAGATGTCTAATGCTGCCTTGGCGCCACCGGTTTTCCAGAATGTACTAAATTTTTCATGAAACACGGCGCCATTCGGCGACGGGAGGGGCATTTTGGTTACCATCAATGTGTCGACCCATCTAGATAGCCTTTTCTTGAGTTAACACGTTTTGCCATGGAGACTAGACGAGCTTACTCCAGCTACTCAAAAGTTCACAAGTTCCATCGGAGTGAAACTGGTTAACCGGAAGTAATGAAGCAGTGAAAGTGAAAATGCACCCCCCCCCAGGTCGATGAACTGCGCCCATGAAAAACTTAGGATATTGATTCAAAGTAAAGCGTACCAAAAATCTCTGCTGCTCCCATGCTAAGACTGTAGATAGCCACAATGTAGATGTCTTTGGTGAGATCAGATGTGAAGGCAAGAGTGGTTGGATAGACGCTGATGAGAAACGAAACGCTCAAACCCATGTAACCGAAGAATGGCGTCAGTAATAGCATATTTACCTCCTTTACAGAAGATTTGAACTTGCCTGAAAAATATCAATTATGCCCAATTGAAGGATGGAAGCATTGGTCAGTCTGAACTGGAGCACGGTACACGAATTCTGGCCGTATGTGTGCTAAGTGGCACAACTTATCACTACTTCCTCTGTCCCTAGGCAAACACAAGGAAACAGTGCAGGGTTTGGCGTTGAGCAAGCATGCTTTGGAAGCGTACACTCTACCACTTAAGAGAGGGCTTCGGGGAGAAAGGGCATTTAGCAGCTTTCCGCTGATTTCTTCCGCTTAATCCTGTCAGATTACAAGTTTTATCCTGATAGGACCTGCAATAAAAGAGACTCATGCTGTTGTACAGCTTTGCAGAAATTTACAGGTAATTCACACGCAGGAAGCATCGGCAGTGATCGCTGGGAACCAGCAATATGCCCCCACCTAGGCGTATTGCGTCCTCCATCCTACGCTGAAGTAGTAATGGAATACGTCTGACCAACACAATGACTTTGTGGGGGAAACCAATACACCAGTCAAGGGACTCCCTAGATTGGTCTGGTACCAGTTAACCAAATATAGCGCTCCCTTAGCTCTGATACTTTTCAGTGATGCCCCCCCCCAACACAGAAGTTATTTGGAGCTCCGTCTCTTTCGATGCATCCAACGAATTTCTGAGGCAGGCTCGATCTATGCAATGACCTTGCTTTCAAGGTAACCCGCTGTCTCCGTCAACTGTTGAAACGAAGTCTGCGAGACCGTAAATTAAAGTCTGGAGTTGATTTCATCGAAACAAGTCCTGGAGTTGATTTCATTGAAACCTAAAACTGGTTTCAAAATTTTTAGACTTTCTTTGGTCTCTTTTTGTGGAGTACAGATACACTTCACATCTCCGCCTTGGAGTATGAGCGTTTGGGACTTTGCTTTGAGAGCAGACAATCACCGATACGGGCTGTGCACGGTGCTGTAGATGGCGTGTTCAGGAGGGTGCGAAGGGCGCAGGGAAACGACGACGCACTTCCTCCTCCCCTTTTTCGCTGGCTGAATCGGCAACTATCCACCGCCGCTGCAGTCACGACCAAGTTTGTGGACACTCCCCCGCCGCGGAGCTTTTGTGTATTTGCAGACTACCGCAAGAAGAGGAAACGGTAATTCTATTTGCAGAGCAGTTTGCTTTTTTTTGCGACTTTCGACGATCTTGTTAAGAGGATTTCCAGAAAACAAAAACTTCAAGGCTAACGACTTGTCAACACTCATTAGCAACAGGTCGAGCGGGAGAAGAAAGACAGACTTCTCGCGAGGCGACAGAGGAAAAGCGATCCCAAGAAGCAAGCAGCCACAGCGGCGCCGAAACAGTACGCCAGGTCGCGCCGCGCATCATACAAGCTGGTCGTTCTTGGGAAAAACGCCACGCGAAAAAGTTTTGAAAAAAAAGTGTTCGTGAACACTTTTCCTGCAGACAGTCTATCCATGAAGAGTGAAAATCATACGGAGGACTCACCAAACTGTTCTTTCAAGCTGGGCATAACCTCCTGGGACTTCGAGGCGATGCTGTCATACTGCTTTGTTGGCAGAGATATGAAAATCACCACAGAGATCACATTTAATGCAAAGAAAGTGCCATAAATCAGATGGATTTGCATGTCCGTATAGGATAGTGAAGCAGTTTGGCCAGGTTCAGACTACAATAAAGACAAATCTAAGGACTATGTATAAGGACTGAGAACAAATGAAATCCGAACCATCACTCACAGGTGAGATCAGGTAGGAGATGAGCATCAGTGCACCACCACCGACGAATAAGCTGAAAAGAACCACGTTGGAGTAGGAACTGGAGGTAGAAAATCGGTGTCGTCAACCTCCACCAAAGGTTCCCTTTTGGGCAGACGCAGTAGTAATGCAGCTTCTGGTGGTTTGGTGGAGGAAATGCGATTTTGTATTGCAGTCAGAGGTTTCTTTCTTCATGTTCAACTCGTGCTTATCTGTTGCTCCTCCTCATCTAGATTCCAAAGTGGACTTACATTCAACAGCTTTGGACTGCATCTCACCCAAACCAACTGTTGAAAGAAGATTTTGTGGAGGAGGCACTTGGAGAAAATGCGAAAAACTCGAGAAAAACTGGTATAACCCTGGCATATAGATTCCTCCTCTGAATGCGGAGCGACACAATCGTCCGCAAGCCGCGCATGAAAGCGTGATGTTGCGTGTAGCAACATAG